TCTCTCTCTCTCTCTCTCTCTCTCTCTCTCTCTCTCTCTCTCTCTCTCTCTCTCTCTCTCTCTCTCCTTTTTTTATATATATACATGGTCCATATCTCGATTGAAGCGTGTCATCCTTCTGCAGCGGGAAGGAGGGTTTTAGGGGCGGATGCTGTTTCCTTTGAAAAGTGTTGAAGAGGGGCTGACGCCTGGGCTGTTTGTGGATTGTGTGTGCGCAGGTGAAGCTGTCGATGGCACTGGCGAAGCAGATCTTGCAGTTGCTGCAGAGAAAAAGAGAGAGAGAGAGTGTGTGTGTTTGTCTGTGTGTGCATGTGTGTGTGTGTGTGTGTGTGTGTGTGTGTGTGTGTGTGTGTGTGTGTGTTCCAATGCAACATAAAAATAAAAAATAAAAAATATATGATGTGCGCACCAGGCGCATATGCGGCCCGCCAGCACGCAGCCCCCAGCGCACCGGCCCTGTGCGCAGCGCGGCGCGCGCCGGTGTGCGCGCACCTCGGGTCTGCGCACCGCGCAGCACACAGGGCCAATGTGCCGCAAGTATGGTTCAAACAAAGCCACCAGGTTCACAGCATGTGATTTTAGAACTAAAAAGGAGTGGAAACTGTCAGATGACTCAAACACAAATGACAGACCAATCCAAATCAACAGAATGAACCCTACAACTAAAAGGTCGTAAAGGAAAACAAGAAATCTGAGAGGAACAGTTTTAGGCATCCGAGCCCATTGCAGTGGTCACTAGCACTTTTGTAAATATATCTGACCGCATTTATGCCTGGAGCTAGATGTTTCTGACTGCAGTCAGGACCTGAAATAAGTCCTAGTGCGTGTATGCCCTGAGAGGAACGGGTTGAGAGTTGGGGTTGACGCCGGTTATTTAAGGGGGGGGGCAAGCTGCTAAGGATTAATCAATGCTACCTGAAGTGCCCCTGGTTGTACTAGCGGAAAGTGTTCGTGAATCAATATACTGTATTAGACTTGCCGGTGGAAAAGGAACCGGCGGATGCTTCCCAGAATGGACATGGAGACTACGCCACAACGATGCAGTTTTTCTTTGTTAACATTAGTTGACTCCTTCAGCACAAAAACAATGTCACAAGAATCATCATTCCCAGTGCATTAAGAGACACGTACTGGAACCACATGTAGAGTTCGCTGGGAGGAGAAATATTTGTGGTACAAAGAGATTGAGATAGACAGATACGCTAACAGAGAGAAGCAGATGAACAGAAAAAGATCAGAAGCATTCATCCCATCAGGAAGTGCATTCATGAGAACAACCACTTGCCAGGTTTCTTTTTTCTATTTTTAAACAAACAAGTGGACCCGCCGCGACTTCGCCCACGTGGTGGCCATACCTATGAGGAGCGAGCAGCTTACCTGGGCGCCATAGCTGGTACTTGCGCCAGCGACCTGCAGCATAGAGGAGCACGACACTCGTTAGTACATGGCAGCCGATACGTGCAGGTGAGACAGCGGAGAGGACAGCATCTTCTTCCTGTTCTTGCCCTCCACTTCTTCTTCTTCTTCTTCCTCCTCTTCCTCTTCTTCTTCTTCTTCCTCCTCTTCCTCTTAGAGAGAGAGAGAGAGAGAGAGAGAGAGAGAGAGAGAGAGAGAGAGAGAGAGAGAGAGAGAG